CTTGAACACTTGATCAGGATTTTTCCTCTATAATCTTTGTTTTCAGTGAATGAGATTTTAGTATGTGGAAAGTGCACATAAGCTACGCAAATCCAAATGCTGTCTCTGCCTTTTAGTTTTTTTGTTTTTTTAAACCTAAAGACAAGGCTATAGCCCTTTATTCTATCATTTTCTAATTTATTTTCCTATATTCCCATTACACTTAATCTCCAACCCGGGAAGAAGACGAGGAGAGAGGAAAGGAATATAGGATTCCCTCCATCTCCCTGCAGTGTCTCGCAGGTCAGAGGTCTCATAATGAATTGAGTACGTTAGGGACCAGCACTTTTAAACATTGAAGTGAAATCAAACAGAAAACGTCAAAGTGGCTTGCATGTAGTCAGCCTAAAGTATGTTTTTAATCATATATAAACTCTGTGTCTATGTATGTGTACGTGTGTATTTATATATCTCGTGTGACTGAGTTGCAACATAATATGTTTATCTTACCATATGTCACAGTCAAAAAACTCTGAAAATCAATATTGTACCGTATGGATTATTTTCTTCTTAGGGCCATCTTTCCAAGGGATCCCAGGACAGGGGTAGTTGGAGGGCCACTTGTTTACAGCCTACGTGACCAAAATGCTAATGCGTCTTCAGAGCCTCGAGTTCGCAGTAGCTAAGTGTGTCAGAGTACAGGAACAAAACAGGTTTCCAGCACTCATACTTCTCACACAGCAAAAACAAAGAATTAAACAGAGTCTCTTCACCTTGACGTCACCTGCGTTCTTCACCCAGTGCTTTGAATACCATCTCTGGATGCCATCTTTGTAGATTGTTGGTTTGTTTGACATCTCCTCTTTTTTCCCCCAATTCGGTCATACCGATTCTCGACTTTCCCCCTCTTTTTGGTACATTTGTGATTCTCTTTGTACCGTCCTTCTCTCCCTCCTCCTCCTGCTGTGTATGTGAATAGATATTCGTGCACATCAAGAATGTGATGAAAGTGACGTTGCTTCTTCTCATTGTATCACATCTGGATATGTACAGCATCAGCTTGTCCCAATAATGGAGCTCTTTTTCTGACTATGTAAACTGTGTGTGTGTGTGTGTGTGTGTGTGTGTATGTGTATGTGTATACACCAGGGCTAAGGCTTCCTCCCTTAGTTAAGCTGGTATCCCCTGGTTTCTCCGTGTACTGTACTGGTATTATATTTCCTTTGTAATTAATAAGTAATTTTTGAGAGGGTGCTCTTAATCTCTATCCTCATCAAACTTTCACTTGCAAATTTTAGCCTTCATTAGTGGTTCTTGCCTTGCAATGTAGGCTCAGACTGTTTCTCCTTCCTGACATCGCAATCTTGAAAAGTTTTCTCCATTTTTAAAAATCGTTTATTAAAATGAATAGCTTGACGACCTCATATTCAAATGCCTAACCTCAAATTCTTCTGACCTTCAATTCAAAATTCTGCATGTAGCGTCTAGCTTAGACTTTTGATCAAACAAGGACTCACTAAGGTTTGCATTTCTAAAGTTAGCTTCAGGATACTTAGAATATTAAGGAAAGGTCCAGGTGTGGTGACTCATGCCTGTAATCCCAGTGCTTTGGGAGGATGAGGCCAGTGGATCACCTGAGGTCAGGAGTTCGATTCCAGCCTGGACAACATGGTGAAACCTCGTCTCTCCCAAAAATACCAAAAGGAGCCGGGCATGGTGACCTGTGCCTGTAGTCTCAGCTTGGGAAGCTGAGGCAGGAGAATCGCTTGAACCCAGGAGGCAGAGGTTGCAGTGAGCAGAGAACTTACCACTGTACTCCAGCCTAGGCTACAGGCTGAAACTCCATCTCAAAAAAAAAAAAAAAAAAAAAAAAAAAGAATCTTAAGGAAATACTAAAAACTCAACATAATTCAATGAAAATTGGCAATGCAGATTGTCAGCGGCTTATTCAGAGGCTGTGACCATTTTCCAAGGCTTTTCTAAGAGCGACATCTCAATCTTAACATTTCAGTAAAGATTTTCTCCAGTTACGTATTAATTTTTTGAAGCTCTTGTGATTGTTTTGGTGTCGCCATAAGTCATTGTATTCACACTAGTTGTACTCCTGTTCAGGATTTGGAATAGCATAGAGAAAATGAAAGTGTTTGAATTAAATAATGGACAAATGCCTGTCCTGGGAAAAAAACCTTGAACCTGCATGATTTTATGGCCAATTATACAGGTTATAAATGCTGAAGTTTTAGGTCCACTTGTGTTAAATATATTAGCAATTTCTATTGCATGTGTCATGTACTGAGCTGTAAGAAGCCACCTCAGGATGTACCACCTGCTCCCATTTGTTGTGTGGTGAGGGGTATGGATCTTCTAATGCCTCCAAAGCCCTTTGCTAATAAGGCTTAGCTTTTTCCTGTATCTGCAGATGTCTTGGTCTGGATCCCTCACTTTTCTTTTCTTTTATTTTTTTTGAGATGGAGTCTCACTCTGTCACCCAGGCTGGGAGTGCAGTGGCACCACCTCCGCTCGCTGGAACCTCCGCCTCCTGGGTTCGAGCGATTCTCCTGCCTCAGCCTCCCCAGTAGCTGGGATTACAGGTGTGTGGCACCACACCTGGCTAATTTTTGTATTTTTAGTAGAGACAGGGTTTCGCCACATTGGTCAGGCTGGTCTTGAACTCCCGACCTCAGGTGATCCTCCCGCCTGGCCTCCCACAATGTTCGGATTTCAGGCATGAGCCACTGTGCCCGGCCAGGATCCCTCACTTTAGAGAGCAGATGCAATACAGGAAATTTGCACTGTGAAGCAAATGTGTCTAAATTTATGCCTCTTTTTCCAAAACTTTTATTACAAAATTAAACATATTTTCTCATTAAAAAAAAAAAAAAAAAGATGCACCAGCTGAAAGCAGCACTCGTGCATTTCTCCTGATCTTGGGGTTTGGCCCTATGAGGGCTGCTTCATGTGTGTCTGCTGGGCTCACCTGGACTTACAGAGGACTGAACCCTCACTGGCTCCTGCATGAGCTCATAATGTGTTCAGGGACTCATGCAGCCGGGAGTCTCCAGACTAAAGCCTCATTCTTGGCCTGGAGCAGTGGCTCACGCTTGTAATCCTAACACTTTGGGAAGCCAAGTTTGGTGGATCACTTGAGGTCAGGAGTTGGAGATCAGCCTGACCAACATGGCGAAACCCCATCTCTACTAAAAATACAAAAATTAGCTGGGCATGGTGGTATGTGCCTGTAATCCCTGCTACTTGGGAGGCTGAGGGATGAGAATTGCTTGAACCGGGGAGGTGGAGGTTGCATTGAGCCAAGATCGTGCTACTGCACTCCAGCCTAGTTGACAGAGTGAGACTTGACCTCAGGTGATCTGCCCACCTTGGGCTCCCAGAGTGCTGGAATTACAGGCGTAAGCCACCACGCCCCACCCCTACTCTTTCTTTTATATTAATTTCCTTGCTGTAAACTAATTATTTCTGGTGGGGAAAATGGAGCTGAGCTCAGGCTGTAAAATGCAACTTCACCTCTGCTGCAAAGAAAAAGGATGAGGCAAGGGGGAACTGACTGAACTATGACTGAAATAGGAGCCAGACATTCTAGAAAAGATTTAGATACAATTCCGGATAGGAGGTATAATGTCTTGATAAAACTAGAAAAATGGTTTATATATTAATGTCCTCATGAACTCATATATGCATAGAGAGATCCACACGCCTAAATGAATGCATGTCCTGGAATCAACCCAAATGGCCATCAATGATAGACTGGATCAAGGAAATGTGGTACATATACATCATGGAATACTATGCAGCCATAAAAAGGAACGAGATCATGTCCTTTGCAGGGACATGGATGGAGTTGGAAGCCATTATCTTCAGCAAACTAACGCAGAGAAAACTAAACACCGCATGTTCTCACTTTTAAATGGGAGCTTAATGATAAGAACACATGGACACATGGGGGAAGGACACACCGGGGCCTGTCGGAGGGTTGGGGGTGACAGGAGGGAGACCATCAGGAAGAATAGCTAATGGATGTTTGGGCTTAACACCTAAGTGATTGGATAATCTGTGTAGCAAACCACCATGGCACATTGTTAACCTATGTAATAAACATGCACATCCTGCACATGTACCCAGAACTTCAAATAAAAGTTGAAGAAAAAATAAACACATGTCCATAGGTATAAAAACAAAACGTATACAGATATCAAACCATCACATTGTATACTTCACATACATATAGTTTTTGTCAATTATAACCCAATAAATATGGAAAAAGTAAAAAAAATAAAAAAATATGTTTATATATGAACAAAAGAAAGAAGCAGCATTGTTTCCCATGTTGGAATCTGTCACTAAGGCTACTTGTGGTGGATGGCCACAGTCTTTGCAGCCCTTCCCACCAGAAGTGGAACAGATCTCTGTACCCCAAGACCCTGGGCTGGCCTGGGACTTCTGATGGCCAATAGAGTCAGTGGCAGTGGCCATATGTGCTTTCCAAGCCTGGGCCAGGGAAGACTTCATGTTTTCCACTCTCCCCGCTGCCCCGTTCGCACCAGTGCCCTCTAATCTGACCCCGCAACCTCTGTTCTCATTCTTAAGAATGAGGCTTTTTGGCCGGGCATGGTGGTTCACCAGGATCACTTGAGGTCAGGAGTTCAAGACGAGCCAGGCCAAGATGGTGAAACCCCATCTCTACTAAAAATACAAAAATTAACTGGGTGTGGTGGCAGAGCTACTCAGCTACTCAAGAGGCTATCCCAGCTACTCAGGAGGCTAAGGCAGGAGAATCACTTGAACCTGGGAGGAGGAGGTTGCAGTGAGCTGAGATTGCGCCACTGCACTCCAGCCTGGACAACAGGGCAAGACTCTGTCTCAAAAAAAAAAAAAAAAAAAAAAAGAGTAGGAGCAGCTGGCCTTGAAGTCAGAGGCCTCCACTTCTGAGTGCATCCATGATATCATTGCTGCTACAGCATCCAGAGCCCTCCCCACTGAAAACATTCTGAACTCTTCTCTTACAGAGATTAACCAAAGTGCTGATAATCTGCACATATTTCTTCTGATATGTGGACTTCGACAAGTTAAGGATCCTCTCTATCTGGTGGATGCATTTTCAGGTGTGTTTGCTGGCTACCTTCCTCCACTGTGTATGGAATTCCGTGTGGGCGCCCATCTCCGCATTTCTGTCTTCAGGGCTCTGAGTTTTCTTTCCTGGTTCTTTGCACATGAGCAGAACTGTTTCTAGATTGTTACTTTGGAGAAGAACAGAAAAATAATGTATGGGATCAGCAGCTCTTTGGAGGAATTTCCGTTTAGTTTTCCACTGTCCTGTACCCTCAGGTTCTGAGAAATTCATAAAAATAGCAAATAATTATAAGACTAAAAGAATTTTACCTGAAAATATTTCACACATGCCGATTTGTGTGATGCATTTGGAGTTTTGTTTATTGTTTAAGATAATCTATATATTCTTTAGTATATTCCAAAGCCACATTGAATTGTGGTGATACTGGAGAGTAGTCCTAGTTATCCAGTAAATTCGAAATCTGGACAATGGATAATACTGTAGAAAAAAATTCTACTTAAAATCATAAAATGTCAAATACAGAAATTCTGAAGAAATGTAATTTAAATTGACTAATACTATGAATGAAAGCCAAATGATACGAACTAATTTATATTATTGAGAAATTTATATTGAAGTTAATTGTGCTTGCAGCTGTGACGTAAAACCTTTTTAAGTGTTCGTTTTGTCTTCTTTTTTCTTCCCAAGAATGGCATCAGGAGGAGCCCAGTGTATACCTGGTGATTGCAGGTCCTGAAGTAAGTTGATGTGCAGTAAACATTTATCTCATCTGTTTTCCTCTTTATATTTTTCATGTGTTTTCTACAATTAGTTTACATAGCTCTTCTTTTTTTTTTTTTATTTTTTTTGAGGCGGAGTCTCGCTTTGTCGCCTGGGCTGGAGTGTAGTGGCGCGATCTCGGTTTACGGCAAGCTCCGCCTCCCAGATTCACGCCATTCTCCTGCCTCAGCCTCCCGAGTAGCTGGGACTACAGGTGCCCGCCACCACGCCTGGCTAACTTTTTGTATTTTTAGTAGAGACGGGATTTCACCGTGTTAACCAGGATGGTCTTGATCTCCTGACCTCATGATCTGCCTGCCTCATCTTCCCAAAATGCTGGTGTTACACATGTGAGCCACTGCGTCTGGCCTACATCGCTCTTCTTACCAAGTGGGGTTTTCCTCTTTTTAAGTAAATGAAGTCAGTTTGCCTCTTAAAAAATGAAAACTAGACCAAGGTTACAGATCATTACAACGACAATAAATCTTTACAACTAATTTATTGCAAAAGGATAACTAATAACTTGTATGGAAATACAGAGGAGTCTGGCCGGGCGCACTGGCTCATGCTTGTAATCCCAGCAACTTTGGGAGGCTGAGGCCGGTGGATCACCTGAGGGCAGGAGTTCAAGATCAGCCTGGACAGCATGGTGAAACCCGTATCTCTACTAAAAATACATTTAGCCGGGCATGGCGGGTGCCTGTAATCCCAGCTACTCGGGAGGCTGAGGCAGGAGAATCGCTTGAACCTGGGAGGTGGAAGCTGCAGTGAGCTAAGATCGCACCACTGTACTCCAGCCTGGGCTACAGAGCAAGACTCTGTCTCAAAAAAAAAAAAAAGAAAAAAGAAAAGAAATACATAGGAGTCCTATAAAAAGGAAATTAAAGTTATATAAAGTGAAAATTAGTTTAATTTGCTGCATAAGACAAATATTATATGTGATCCAAATTGTCTTTGAAATTTCCTTAAATTGCTCAACAAACTTGGTGCCATTCCTTCCACCTAGCATCAGATGGCAGGTGACACCTTTGGGAGTCTTGTTGTGTGGAAAATGAGTATCTGTAAATCCGAGAAACACGCTGGGATGGAAGACGTTCTTCCCCGACCATGGTGGCCGTGGCCAAGGAATGGAGCCCCTGGAAGCCACTTGCAGACGCCACCTCCCATTCTGTGGGGACTCCGGGATATTCACTCATGCCTCACCAGATCAGGATCCAACACGTGCTGTGTTCCATGTCGGTCCTAATAGAAGTCCCAAGTGCTTAGGATTCACAGAATCTGTGGCTGCGCTGGTCATCTCATGAAAATGAACTGTCTTTACTCCAAGTGGTTTGGAAAACAGAATACGCCTAGTGTTTCCAGCCAGACAGGGTGAACCGCTGCCAGTGACAGCTCCCTATCTTTGTGGGGTTTCTTTTTTTTTTTTTTTTTTTCTTTTTTTTTTTTTTGGACGGAGTTTTGCTCCTGTCACCCAGGCTGACAATGGCGTGATCTCGGCTCACTGCAACCTCTGCCTCCTGGGTTCAAGTGATTCTCCAGCCTCAGTCTTCCTAGTAGCTGGGATTACAGGCGCCCGCCACCACACCTGGCCAATTTTTGCATTTTTAGTAGGGACGGGGTTTCACCATGTTGGCCAGGCTGGTCTCGAACTCCTGAGCTCAGGCAATCCGCCCGCTTTGGCCTCCCAAAGTGCTAGGATTCCAGGCATGAGCCACCGCACCTGGCCTCTTTGTGGGGTTTCTGTTCCAGGGTTGCTGCTGTGGCCTGAGTGTGTGCATCCCTCCAAGTTCCTATGTTGAAACCTATTCCCCAGTGTGAGGGTATTAGGAGGTGGGGCCTTTGGGGGTGATTCAGGCATGAGGGCAGATTCATGCCCATGAGGGAGGCCCCAGAGAGCTGCCTCGCCCCTTCCACCAAGCAAGGACACGGCGAGCGTCTGGATGGGAAGCAGGCCTCGCGGACACCCGTCTTTCCCGCGCCTCGATGTTTCTGTTGTTTGTCAGCCTCTGCTTTCTGGTATTTTGCAATAGCAGCTCCCGTGGACTAAGACAGCCGCCTGGTCTGCAGTGTTACATAAAATCTGTGTGGCTGCCGTGGCCATCTCAGGAGAAAGAGCTCGCATGACTCCAGGCGGTTTGGAAAGCAAGACACACTTAGCGTTTCCAGTCAGATGGGGTGTACCACTGGCAGCGACAGCTCCGTTTCTTCGGGGGGGTTCTGTTTCCGGTCCCTACAGCAGCAGTGTTCCTGAAAATCCGAGTGAAGGGAACTCCACACAACTGCCGGGAGCCTTGTCTGTTTTGTGGTTCTTCCTTATATAGGTTTTTCTGGTTCCCTAGGGACCCATAAAAGCATAACATGGAGTTACAAGCTTTTCTCAGTATTTTCAAAGGCTTTTGGAAATATTTACCTGGAAAGGGCCACATAAGGAATTAAAAATGTCAAGGGCTTAGGCCAGGTGTGGTGGCTCAGGCCTGTAATCCCAGCACTTTGGAATGCCAAGAGAGGCTGATCACCTGAGGTCAGGAGTTTGACACCAGCCTGGCCAACATGATGAAGCCCCATCTCTACTAAAAGTACAAAAACTAAAAATACAAAAATTAGCCAGGCATGGTGGCCTGCCCCTGTAATCCCAGCTCCTCGGGAGGCTGAGGCATGAGAATCACTTGAACCTGGGAAGCAGAGGTTGCAGTGAGCCGAGATTGCGCCACTGCACTCCAGCCTGGGTGACAGAGCAAGATTCTGTTTCAACACAAACAAACAAAAACACCAAGGGCTAGAATCTGTGTGGCCACATTGAATACCATATGGAAGATAAATTACGCTTAAATGTGGCAGTTCGTTAACATACACCCACATATACACATACACACATATGTGCGTGCACGTGCGCGCACACACACACACGTTAAGTACAGCATTGTAGTAGTAACAAGATAATTCCCAGTGTGCTCATTCATGGTAAGTCCCATAGAGGTACGGTTATCATTATTACTTTTAAAAATTCTCGTTTCATTTTTCTGTTTGAAGAACACTGAAACAAAACCTTCTAGTTTGATGCTAAAATTCTGGCTAATCAAGAGAGAAGGCCTCAGACGTGGAGCCATGGGCAGGCAATGACAGTATCTAGCAGGCATTGAATAACGTGGTTTTCTTTTTCATTGTTTTCATTCTGATGATCACATCCCATTTATAATGCTTGATACCGGCTTTCCAATTATGAAAATTTCCTCTCAAAATAAATTGACTTCACAGAAAGTATTAAATAAGCAGCGGTGCATGTAGATATGACAAACTATGAAAGTGCATGCGACTAGCCAAAGTTTGGGAGAGTTCTGTATGGCATTAGCGTGTGGGGTGGAAATACTTAAAAAGAATGCCTGCTGGAGAAGAACATCCAAACCCTGAACTGACCATCATCTGGTCGCAACGTCTGGCTTTTTCTGGATCACATTTCCTTTCCAGGAAGCTGGTATGGGGGGCAAACGGAGGGGTACACAACACTGGGTATGTGACAGAGCCCTCTTCCAGAGAAGTAAAGACTCATTGTGCACATGGACCCTAGAACATAAAGTATAATACAAAATAATAATATTTATATATTTATAAAAAAAAAAGACTCAGGGCACATGTGGGCTGATTGCAGAGGCGGGAGAAGAGAGAGCTGCTGGAACAAAGGACGCTGCCTGGGCTGGTCTTTCCTCTTTAACTTGGCTGCCCGCTGATGAGGGAGCAGGTACTCTGTTTCTTAATGACTTCTTAAGTAATAGTCTTTTAGGAGAGACGCCATCGTTGCTGCTGCTGTTTTCACATGAAGCAATCAGAAATGTTTTTCACTTCCCAGAGGAAATATGTCTCTTCTACCACCGTTTTTTTTTTTTTTTTTTCCATGAGATGGAGTCTTGCTCTGCCGCCCAGGCTGGAGTGCAATGGCATGATCTCAGCTCACAGCAACCTCCGCCTCCTGGGTTCGAGCGATTCTTCTGCCTCAGACTTCTTAGTAGCTGGGACTACAGGCATGTGCTACCACGCCTGGCTAATTTTTTGTATTTTTAGTAGAGTCAGGGTTTCACCATGTTGGCCAGGATGGTCTCAATCTCCTGACCTTGTGATCCACCCACCTCGGCCTCCCAAAGAGCTGGGATTACAGGCCTGAGCCACTGCACCCAGCCCTTTTTTTTTTTTTTTTTTTTTTTTTGAGATGGAGTCTCGCTCTGCCACCCAGGCTGGAGTGCAGTGGTACGATCTCGGCTCCCTGCAACCTCCACCTCCTGGGTTCAAGCGGTTCTCCTGTCTGAGCCTCCCGAGTAGTTGGGATTACAAGTGCCCACCACCACGCTCAGCAAATTTTGTATTTTTAGTTGAGATGGGGTTTCACCATGTTGGCCAGGCTGGCCTCGAACTCCTGACCTCTGGTGATCCGCCTGCCTCGGCCTCCCAAAGTGCTGCGATTACAGGTGTGAGCCACCGCGCCTGGCCCCTTTCTACAACTTCTTTATGGAACATGGCACCTCTCTCTAACTTTGGTTTGCCTGCTTTTGAAAGCACAGTGAGTGTAAAAAGTGTTTGTCTTCCCTCCTAAAGTGGCTGTTAGGAATCTTGTCCCTGCAGGGCTGGGAGCTGACTCTGCAGGAGAAGCCACAAGTCTAGAGGCCTCCTCTTTTTATTTGAAGGGGTGAATGTGTGTGTGTGTTTATTAAAAATAACGCCAGTGAAATGCCTTTAATTTAAGGGCTGGGAACTAACTAAACACTATGTGCATGTGAGCATACGTGCACGTGCACACACACACACACACACACACACACACACACACACACCCTGTTGGCCTTGTATGTCCTACAAAATGCATCTCTGTATTTTCTTTCCTTTCCTAATTCTGGAAGGAGGTCATTGCAAAATGGTTTTGAGCAAGGATTGCCATGGCTTTGCCTGTTGAGGAGTTGACAGGGACTTGACATTCCAGGATTAGGGAACAGTCGGGGGCATGGGGCTGGCTGAAGGTGCTGCCGGCTCCTGGCGGTGATGGAAAGCCCCGTCTGGGGAAGCTTTAGCTCCGCCATGGTTTCCAGAGGCCCCCCTCTCCATTTCCAAGCTAGTCTAACACATCTGTAACATATCTGATGACAAGATACGTGGTAGGCAAGTACAGGTCCCAGATGAGTCCCCTTGAGCCCACACCCCAACTAGATCGCCGTCCCTGAAACCTCCATGTGCCCGTCTGGAGCTGCACGTCCAGCCCAGCATGCTCGTTGGCTTGGGTGGAGCAGAGAACACAAAGCAGTGAGAGGAAAGGGCAGCTAGGAGAGGCAGCGTTGCAGCAGAGTGTCCGAGACCCGGGTGGGAAGGACGGTGGTCTGAGAGTTTTTTTAATTCGTTGCCATAAATTATTAAGAATTCTAAAGCACCTCTTTCATGAGGCACTTTGCTATCTATAATTAAAGCAGTCCTAGGAAATGGAAAAGTGCACCCTTTGGTTATGGATTTGTTGCTTGAGCAAACAGTCATAAGCGCCAGGTTTGTGCCTGTTTACACGTAGCCCCGAGCTGTCCTGGGATTTGCTGAAACTGCAGCTTCCACTTCCAGTCGTGGTTTACAGGGAGGCCGCCGGTCTTGCCAGCCTCGGTGGGCCTTTAGCAGAAGCAAAGGCTCTGGGCACCACCCTACGTTAAGATCTCTGCCTTGTCGAAGGTCTTTCAAATCTAAGGGAAAAGCAACAGCCACCACCACAAAAACCTTGACATCATCTCAGTGGATGAAATAATTTGAGTTTCTACATTTCTGAGTCCGCACTGAATCTAACAAATTACAAGCCCCATCCAATAACTTGTTTACTTCTTGATTCCCTCTGTCCCACTGAAGCCTCACAGACTGGGTGCCTCACAGAATGGGTGCCTCTGGGCACGTGTTTCAGTGCCTCGCATGCTGCAGATAGGCTGGTGTCTTCACGTGTTTGTTTTTTAACTGTAAGCAGGGTGCCACTCCTCTCTGGGAGAGACAGCTTTTAGGAAGTGGGGGAGCCCTGTTTCCTAAAAGCCCTGTTTATCAGTGTCCATGGTGTCAATGCGTTAGCAAGGCCAGTTTCCAGTTCCTCAGCCGACATCACTGAACACAGAGTGGGGAAGCAATGCGGGTATACGCAGGCAGCGCGGGCGCACAGGTGGAGCCGATTCCCACGCATGCATTTTACACAGTAACCCGCCACACACACACACACGTGCACGTCAGAAACAAGCTCTATTAAACAATACGCTTTCTTTTACTTCATGCAGTTCATGCATTCTGATTTTTAAAAAACTGTTCCGGGCTACTCTTTGTGATGATATACTATTCTATTCTATGCCATTTTGAGAAATGCTCGTCTTTATTTTACCCCAAAATTGGTTTTATAATTTGCTACCTAGGGTGTAGTTTGAAAAGCTGTGACTTGGGCGACC